ATGGTCCTTCTTTATTTTATGTGCATGTTATATATATATATATATATATTTCTCTATAGTTTAATGCAGGCCAAGCTGCCTAGCAAAAGTGACAGTTATAGGGGTGGCACAAATCAGGGGTACTTACTTACTAAAGCACCCTGGCAGTGTTCTAGTTTAACCCAATCCCTGTCTCTGTAACTGTGACTGGGCATCTTGGTCTGCATATAAAGAAAAATGAATATAAATGTTGGCATGTGAAGTAAACCAAAATACACATAACATATTTGCACTGTACAATGGTCAGGATACAATATATTTGGCAATTGTAGTAGAAGTAGGGAGATGAGGTACAAGTAAATGTCTGATAAACTGTAACAATGGCAATCCATGGGAAATAATACAACACAGAAAGGGTTAATCTATATGCCATGCAGAGTATACAACCAGCAGTTAAAGTAGTAGTTAACTCTCAACATGTTTTCACTAATTAATCCAGATCAAACAAATATAAATTGCCCAGCAAAGTATTTCTTTACATATTTGCCCAAGTACTTCATCGTGTTTTTAAACAGCTTCAACTCTCTCAGCTCAGCTTCCCTAAACTTCTTGTGCCGTACAAGATCACAAGAAATGGAGCAATCTCCAGCAGCCATCAGTCTACTAGCTTAGAGGAAGGGGGAGGAGGATGTTTTGCTTTGCTGAGCTTGTATGTTTGTGGGAACTACTACTACTACTACTACTACTACTACTACTACTACTATTAGCACACACAAGGGTGGCTCTATGGGAACCTGCAAGGGAAAGGAGCCACCCTAAAACAGAATATCAGTGCCAGTGCTCAGGGGACCTGCTGATTCTGCAGGAAACTAAAATGTTTAAACCTCAACAAGCACAGCATCCATTGTAATTGATTTAATCAGCATCTGAAATAACTTAAAAATATTTTGCCTTTTAATGTCACTATGTGTGTGGCACCAAGGAAAAGAGATGTGTATAGAACCTTCACTGTGCGGGCTCTTCTGTTGTCATTCCTCTAAAGGTGCCCATACACCTTACAACCATCGCAAGACTTGGCGGTACGATTCTTGGCGGGTTTTCAAGCCTGCTTGTTCGACGGAAGACGTGCGACCGTACAGTAGAAACGGTTGCACGCCTTCCATACACTTTGCGATTATCGTACGATCGCGGGATTTCCCGCGATTCTCGTACGATAATCGTACAGTGTATGGGCACCTTTTAGTATTGTGATGCTCTAATCTGGAACTAATAGTTTCTTGTTCTGTTGCATTGTAGATGTTCAATTCTCCAGAGGGCTGACATGGTAGATGGCTTACGTCTAGCTGATATATGACTGCTATCATTTGTCAGCCTTATGTGATGCACAAGATTCTGCTGTCATAACTCGGTGACCTGCAGCCATAGGATACAAATTAATCAATATCTATTTCTACCCTCTTGTGGAGTTCTGTCAGATAATCCCTTCCACATCTATACTTTTACTTAGCTGTATACGCCCGCATTCACACCTCTGTTTTGTTTGTAGCTAGCTCAAAAAAAGTACATGAGCTTTTTTTAGGCAGAATCTGCACACAGGTCTGTTGCCTTTTAGATGGCATCTCTTAGCTTCACATGGGGGGGGGCAGCATGGCCGCTCTGCTGCACAATGCCGCCCCCTTTGCAGCCAGAGCGTCTCAGGTCGCTACGAGCCAGGGGGAGACGTGTTCAGGCCATACACATCTCCCTGCCCAGCTCTCAGCAACCTGGGACGCTCTGTTCAGCGCCCCGCCCAGCTCCTGGCAACCATCTATGCACCACTGCCTCACCCCCGCCTTAGGTGGCAAAAAGGATCGGGGGTGCCCCTGTCGGTACACCTTTGGTGGTAGTTATGAGGGGTTTACCCTCTCCCTGTTGGAGTATTTATTTTACATTACAGAAAAAGAAACAGGAGGTGCTAGAGAGGATGCAAGGATGGGCAGGAACACCCAAAACTCTATGGCAGACAGGGACAGGATTTATGATGGGAAGACCTCCGTTTTGAAGTATTTAAAGGAGAAGTGTGGGGAGAGTAAAATATACTCTTCCCAATACTTATAGCTGGCATCTGTCACACACCGGCTCTATATATCGAGAGCTGAGCAATCATGTGATCGCTCAGCTCGTAGTCTTCTCCCTGAAGAGGGCAGGGCTGTCGGTTATCATCCCCCACAGGGATTTCGCCCTCTGTTCCTCCAGCGCTCATTGGAGCGACAGACAGGGGAGGGGGCGGACACAGCTGACTCTGGCTCTAGAGAGGCAGGGCCAGCTGCCAATCAGGCAATTGGGTGACAATATTGTCGGAATTATTCCCAGGAGTCCCAGGTGAACATTAGTAAATATATTCCTGGGATGCAAAAAAAGTATAGCTGATAACAAGTTTGGCAAAGAAGAAGATGGGCTGACTTTACCTACCAGGCTCCACTGCGAAAATCGTACTTGATTAAAACTCACTAAAATAAGAATTTTCTGTTTACCAGAATACTATTTTTGCTTGCTTACTTAAAAGTCTTGTGTTACAGCATTGTCTCCTGGAGCCTGCTTGGCTTTAGGTTTTGTTGGCTGGGTATTAACAACTACACTGTACATTACACAGGGGTAGTATAGTGTTAAAGATGGCAGGGATGGGTAGTCTACCTCACTGGCTTCTTTCCAAGCCTTGTGAGATTGCAGGATAACAGATATTGATCAGATTTTGTTTTATAATGTTTTATCTCAGCTATAAACATTGATTGAAACCTACTGCAGAACTGAGTGCATTTATGCATTCCCCAAAGTCACCCCACCAATGGTGAAGGATAAAGGAGCAGAAGTGGGTCTTTTTATGTACGATTCTTTTTAGTAATGGACGCACTACAAAATGATTTTAGCTTTTGCTTAAGACTGACTTACCCTTTGAAGCCTGGATCTGTGGAATTGGGATGAAACAACAAGTTACAAAGGACAGTATTTTTCACTCCCCTGTAGAAAAAAAAAAAATTCAAAGTAACTGTAAATCCCTATAAAAGTTGGAGAACAATGCATTTGCTGCATAGTGATCATGCTTCTTGGATTCATTACTGGAAATCCTATAGCTGAACATTTTTAGTATGGAGGTGGTCAATGCAGGTTTAGGCCCCATACACACTATAGTGCTGCGCTAAGTGTACGCTATCGCACAGCGTGCCTGGCGTACTGTACCATGTGTTAGGTGTGTTGTGTTGCCATTCATTTGAATGGCACCCCAATGCACCTCATGGCGGACATGCACAGCAGGACAATGTGGGGGTACCATAATACCATGCATTGCTGTGAAAAAAGTAGTACATGCATTACTCTTGTTCACCGCGCTGCAATGCACAGTAGCTCCATTCAAATCAATGGCAACATGATACACCTATTGCATGGTATCACACGCTAGGTACACAGTGTGCTAAAAGCATGGGAACGTGCAATTAGCACAACATACGGTCTGTACTTGGTTTTCCAGTGCAAGGGGGCACTCTGGTGGGGACAACCAGTTTAGGGGGCACTCTGATGGGGACATCCAGAGTAAGGGGGCACTCTGATGGGGACAACCAGTGTAAGCGGGCACTCTGATGGGGACAACCAGTGTAAGGGGGCACTCTGGTGGGGACAACCAGTGTAAGGGGGCACTCTGGTGGGGACTGTTATTTACAGGATTATCCAGTAAAAATAAAGAAAACAAATGCGGTGGCCACATGTAAGGACTAATTATTTGCCTAATATTACATGTTTGTTTTTAGATATACTATAATTTATTATCTCTACCACAAACCCCCCTCTATATTTAAATATCCTCTGTTGTATAATAAAAGAACCTTCATTTTGACACACTTGAGTTTTTCGTTGCTAAAGTAAGATGTCATGTGTCACAAGGAGTTGAAGGTCCACAGTGATGTGGGAGAATAATTGATTTAGAGGTTCACATTCATGTTGGAATTAATTAAAGTGACACTGAACTCAGGAGTTAAATCTTAACAATGCAGTACCATAACTATTAAAGGATAATTATGGGCAGAGTGAAATACACTCATCCCCATAATTAGAACTGATGTGCGACAATGATCTTCTCCCTACAGAGAGCGGTGACTGTCGGTCACCGCTCCCCACAGGGATTCTCCCCCCTCCACTCTCCATTTCTCCAGTGCTGATTGGACAGACGAGAAGGGGCGGGCACAGCTGGCTCTAGGGAGGCAGTGCCAGCTGTCAATCAGGCAGCGGGGTGAATCCTGACAATATGGTTGGGATCCACCCCGGCTGCAGCGCAGCTCCGTGCTGTCAGCATATAGCGGAGATAGCTCGCTATATGCAAAGTTTGGGCTCTCGAGGACATTGGTAAATGTCTTCCTGTGACCCTAAAGAGAACTATGACCAAAAAAGGTTGGGTTCTCTTTTAACAAAAATGTATCTTATTTGTGTATCACTCGGCTATAGATCCCTAAATCATCTCTGAATTGATGCGGACTCTGTCCTTCCTTCTGGAAAGTGCCTAGTCTTGTTCTCCATGGTCCTTGTGTGTGTTGTATAGTAGCCACCACTCCAATCTCACTCCTGTGATGGACTACAATCTCACATTTAGTTTACTAATTTGTATTGAGATTGTAGTCCATCACAGGAGTGAGATTGGAGTGGTGGCTACTTTACAACACACACAGGAACCATGGGGAACAAAAGTAGTCACCCTCCAGAAGAAAGGACAGTGTCAGCACCAATTCGGAGATGATTTGAGGATCTACAGCTGAGTGATACACAAGTAAGATACATTTTTGTTTATAGTTAAGGTACGTCAGTGCAAAGATTTAACTCCTGAATTTACTGTCACTTACTTTAAGCCTAACATGTTGGTCAGCAGGGTACCCATATTCATAAGATAATAATTGGCTTAAAAAATATATTGCACTGCAGTATCGAAGCCAAGGCAAAACATTATCTTTTTAATCCCCTTGCTATAGGGCTTGTGTTCCTATGCTTAAAATGAGTGCTGAGATCTCCATCTGACACTAATTTAGAATAAACATTATTGTGCAATCCCAAACATCTATTTTAACTCTTTAGCTGCAAAGAAGAGCGTGTGGCTTGAGAAAGAGGAAAAGGCAAAACAGCTCAGAGAAAAGCAAATACAGGACAGAAGGAAGAGACTGGAAGAACAAAGACTGAAGGCTGAAAGAAAAAGGGTCCTCCTGGAGGAACGACAAAGGTTAAAGCATGAGAAGAATAAGGTAATGGTGGTCCATAGTTGTGTTTATTTCAAACCTTTACTACTCTGGTCTTGGCCTTCATGCAACAGCCTCTTGGCCTTCATGCAGCAGCATCTAGCTATTGGCTTACGTTTTATTATCTTTAGTTGAAAACATCCCCAATTCTCAGTGTTTTGACCTGTTTGAGTGGTGTCATATGTAATGTTATCTTTCATAGGATGACTACGGAAAATATGTCATCACTGCTATAATACCAGTTAACGCAAAAAATTCACTTTTTGGTGCTAATCTGTGTATTAATCATCACTTAAAGGCATTTATCACTTCAATGTCTGCAGTAAGAAGGTCAAAGAGCATGAATGTTATTTATAGCCTCCCAAAGTCTCATTAAATGGAATAATGAAGTAGAGATTGGTTGTCATATTGTTTGAGATAGGAAGCAATAAAATGGCAGTGGTAAAGAGGACAGTGTTGGTCCTTGATACAGATTTCTGGACTGAAAAAAGTTGTTAAATGCCTAGCAGAATTTTATCTACCATTTAATTTTTCACTGTAAAGTATACCGTAATTTTGCTTGATCACACAATACATTTTGATATACTAAACATGTCAATTCTTAGGAAAAATATGAGGCAGCCGTCAACCGTACTTCTAAGAAGACCTGGGCAGAGATTCGTCAGCAGCGATGGTCATGGGCAGGAGCGCTCAATCAGAACTCTCCTAAAGGAGGTATACCATGGGGATGCTGGCAATGGGCTTACTATCAGTGCTTTATTTTAGGAATTGCCTTATTTCCTTTTGGTGACTTATAGGTAGGTATACACCTACAGTGGCAGCAAGTATTGACAAACTTCTCGGTTTAATGCTCTTCCAGCTGGTTGCTTGCTGTAAGGGCTTTGAACATTAAGAAATCGGAATCCATTACTGCTAAAGTTCAAATTTGGGAGCAGCACTTCATTTAACAGTCAACTGTGAGTTACAGGTATTCCAGAATTCATATGTTTCCAATAGCCTGTGCTTTCTTTAGTTTGGGCTTCTGATGAAGAAAGTTGAGCTGGGTGGACATCCTTAAATAAAAAAAAAAGGAAAAAAAAAGTATAAAAACAAAAGTTCCACTTCTAGAAAACAATTCTAGCTGTGTTTTCTAGTCAAACAATTAGAAGAGTACTCTGTTACATTTTCTTTACTCTTCAGCCTGCATGTATATATATGTTTAACACTATGATGAATATTGATGAAAAGAGTTCATACAGCAATGTAAATGCTGGCTGGTTTCTACTGTGTCTCTTTACTTCAGGCCCAAACAGATGCTCCATATCTGCAGTGAATCTTCCCAGACATGTTGACTCTATAATCAACAAGCGACTATCTAAATCCTCTGCCACATTGTGGAACTCTCCAAATAGAAGTAAGAGCTTTGTAGTGTTGTTGTGATGGGATTTCCTCCCCAGCACTTGAGTACTGGTGACTTTAAACCTAAACTCCAGGCAAACCACTTAATACAGATGAAATACATATAAGGGAGCCATTTTACCTGCCAAAGGATTTGTATTTCTGCCTGTCCAGTTCTATGATTTGCATAGCCCTGCCACACAGTACAGCCAGGTGGATGATACCACTAACTCTGGTCCAGTTATAGACTATAAAAGAGATACAGCGGTGTCCTCTCTCCACCGCCTGCTGACTGGACAGTAAAAGAGCAGCAGCACACTGAAGTCATTTTACTGATTACACTGCTTTCTTCTCCTATCAACATGCTCCTTGCCAGTGCATTTGCAATTAAACCAACCCCCTTCCTACCGTGTGAATTCCACTGTACAGAGAATTGCAAGAGGCTGATACCAAGTCAAATTTATGGACTTATAAAAGCTTAATTAAAATAAAGAGCTGCCTTCATTGATATCTTATATGCCTGGAGTTCAGCTTTAAAGGTATATAAAGTATATAAGATGTTGATTGATTACGAACATATTGTAGTCAATAATAATGCATGAACCTTGGCAGATACTCCCTGGGTGACAGAGTTTGTGCAGAAATAAGAGGGGGGTGGGGGTAAATGCCATTTACTGATGTTGTTATTGTTCCGCTGAAATAAGGCTGGAGTTGGGGTGCCCGCTCATCCAAACTATCTCTGTGAAGGACAATTGGATCTTTTACATTTTATTTAATCCAATATATTAAGTCTTAAAAAGAAAAGGAAAAAAAGAATTGGGTAAATATGAAATATCGCTCATGATTATTTCATATTTGTCAATTGCAGCCAGCAGATGGAACTCCAGGCAACACTTATCCTCTTTAAAGTCTCTTCCTCACAGCTGCTGTGCCAAAAATAGACCTGAATGACCACACAGGGGCACATTCCACTCCTTTGCAGGCAAAGACATTAACGTCTTAAGTAGTAGTTTAACAAACTCTGCCACAAAGCAAGGTTGTAGTTCTGTGCTTTCTTGTGAGAAAGCCCAGCATGTTTTTCCAACTGTATATCATGCATGCAATAGGCAAGCTAATAAAGATGTTTTAAAAAAAAAGATAAATAATCCAGTTTATAAACGTGATGCCTTTCATAACAACCAAAAAA